TTTCCCACTGCCTGCCTTGACATCACAACGCTGGTATTCCTCAGTGGTTCTCCTGTCCAAATACCGTCCAGGGCTGACCCTGCTTAGCTTCCGAGATCTGATGAAATTGGGCTGAACTGGACTACCCAGGGCAGGGCAGTTCAATGATCAGTCCTATAGCCAGGATTTTGTGTCTTGTGGGGCAATTTTTTTTTTTCTGGTGGGGCCAAAGTTGACTCTTTCTGCGTCTTCTCAAGATGTCTATTCTGCATGGATGTTCTTATGCTAGTAATCACCTTTAGCTCATTAACCATTTAGTCAAAAGAAAGCTGTTACCAGGATAGATCTCTGGTTTGCAAGCTGTCAACCACTTTAGATGACAGTTCTCAGCTGCTGAAAGTTCATCACGTCTGCCATCCTGAGCAACAGTTCTGATAACAGGTGGGGGTGATGACTTCTATAGCCAAGTACGCTAACAACTTAGGCAGAAAAACTCTGTTAAGAGAGACCAGTTTCTTGACACAGCGTTAGAAGGGATCCTAGAGGTCACCAACTCCAACCCCCTTATTCAGTGCGGAAATCAGTCAACCAGCGCATCCCACTCTGCCTTCTAAAAATATTTTTAAATGACTGAAAAAAACATTTACAGTAGAAATTCTTGTGGGGCTGTGCCTTTAAGAAAGGGGGAGGAGCCCCCAAAAGCCCCCACAGCTATGGGCCTGTCTATGATTATGCCAGAGCAAGAGACGTATAGCAGTCAGAATGTCAGGCTGGGTCTTGGGAAAGCCAGATTCAAATCTCAGCCATGAAGCTCACTGGCCTAATCGACCTCCCAGGGCTGCTGTGAGGAGAAAATGGGGAATTTCCCCCCAAAAAACCAGGTGTCTCAAGGCTGTCTCCTTGCCATACGTAATGCTGCATCTCGTGGGTGGTTCGTGGGTCCCCACTTACTTGAAGGCGTTGACCGCCACCACGACTGGGACGCCAAAGGTCCGGGCATTCTGGATCTGCTTGCTCAAGTTACAACAGCCCTTTGCCAGAAGCTGAAGGTTCTGTAGGGAGGGAGACGGAAAAACGAAAAGGGTTAGTTCCAGCAGCAATATCGTCGGGGCTTCTGTGCCACCCGCTGTGTAAAAAAAGTATATTAACCACCGCTAAACAACAAAAGCACGAAAATGAAAGCAAAAAGCTTGACAAAAGAATCGGAAGAACAGCAGAGCCCAAAGTGCCTCATTTCAGAAACGCCAGTTCCTTCTTCGCAGGGAAGATGAAACACACTTCAAAGGAAAAAAAGAGGCACAACTCCGGAGAACGACTGAAATAAAAAATATTTTCCCCCCTTCTAACAACTTCATCCCCCAGCGACTCAAAGAAAAGGAGTCAGGGCCGTGTAGCCTCTGAAGAGAAGCCACTCGATAAAAAGCACTGTGGAAAATGAAAACTTGTTTTCTCTGTGACGCACAGGGAATGGGGTGAACTAGGCATTAACACCAAAATCATAGAATCAGAGAGTTGGAAGGGACCTCCAGGGTCATCTAGTCCAACCCCCCTGCACAATGCAGGAAATTCACAAATACCTCCCCCCCCACACACCCTCAGCAATGTTCCCGCTAAGCTGTGGAGTCTTCTGAGCAAAACTTCTACTTTGTGAGCTGCTGGCATTAAAGTTGTGAGCGAGTGATTTGGCTACTGCATGAATTAGCTTGCTCTGGAGCCCTCCTTCCTGAGCTGAGACAAAAATGTGTGAGCCGGAGGCTAAAAAACTGTGAGCTAGCTCACACTAACTCAGCTTAGAGGGAAGGAAGACTGACCCTCAGTGACCCCTGTTCCATGCCCAGAAGATGACAAAAAACCTCCAGGATCCCTGGCCAAACTGGCCTGGAGAAAAATGGCTGCCTGACCCCACAGTGGCGATTGGCATTTCCCTGGGCACGTGTAAGAAAGGGCCGCAAGAACTAAGCACTGAGGCAACCCTTCCTGCCATCCCTCTCGTGATCTGCCCAAGTTCACACAATCATCATTGCTGTCAGATGGCCATCGAGCCCCTGCTTGAAAACCCCCAAAGAAGGAGAGCTCGCCACTTCCCGAGGAAGCCTATTCCAGAGGAACCGCTCCAACGGTCATCAGGAAGTTTCTAGAAGTTGAATGCTTCCCACCTATTTATCCGTGAACACTCATGCACCTGTCTTATACGGAATCAGACCTGGTCCATCAAGGACAGTATGGTCTGCTCCAGAGATGTCAATCTCATTTGTTATGAGGGCCGGATCTGACATAAATGTCACTTTGTCGGGCCCGGCCATGTGTGCTATAAAACAAACGGCAGGTACCGGAGATATAAATTTTATAAAGGATAACAGCCAGCAAGCTCCGAGTTGGAGGCCCCATGGGCTGGGACTATGAACAATAAAGAGGATCATACTTGAATATTACAAAAAGAATGAAAACAACCAAGTACACTATTTCTAGTGTTTTGTAATTTTGTCTCAATCGTTTGCAGCAATATTCCAAAAGTTGTATCAAAGTCTTATACAATAACAATATTATCACAATATAAACCACAATGTACAATTACTGTTATAGTGTCGTCAACTGGAACGAATTCCTATACCATCATACATTGTGGTTACAAAATAGTACAATATGTTGTTGTTGTTGTTGTTCAGTCGCACAGCCGAGTCCGACTCTTCGCGACCCCATGGACCAGCTCCTGCCAGGCCCTCCTGTCTTCCGCCGTCCTCTGAAGTTGGCTCAATTTCATGTTCGTTGCGTCGATGACACTGTCTAACCATCTCATCCTTTGCCATCCCCGTCTTCTTTGACCTTCAATCTTTCCCAGCATCAGGGTCTTCTCCAGTGAGTGCTCCCTTCTCATTGGGTGGCCAAAGTATTTGAGCTTCAGTTTCATTATCTGGCCTTCCAGGGGACAGTCAGGGTTGATTTCTTTTAGGATTGACTGATTTGATCTTCTTGCAGTCCAAGGGACTCTCAAGAGTCTTCTCCAGCACCATAGTTCATAAGAATCTATTCTTCGGCGCTCGGCCTTCCTTATAGTCCAACTCTCGCAGCCGTACATTACTACTGGGAATACCATTGCTTTGACCATGCGCACTTTTGTTGGCAGGGTGATGTCTCTACTTTTTATCATGCTGTTTAGGTTCGCCATCGCTTTCCTCCCAAGGAGCAGGCTTCTTTTAATTTCATGGCTGCTGTCACAGTCTGCGGTGATCTGGGATCCCAGGAACGTGAAGTCTGTCACACAGTACAATATACTAAGTCCATAAGTGACTCTCAGCAAGGTAACAACTCAAAGGCAAAATCCAAGGAAAAGTTCACGAGCTTCCAGTTGTGCAATGCAATCATATATCTCTGGTATACAAATACAGATCAGGTATATCATATATCTCTGGTATGCAAGTACAACTATGCTTCTCCGATGTTCAAAGATGGGATTTTCCAGGAAGTTTCTCCCATTTTGGGACCTTCCTCAGCCAAGAGGGAACTGAAGGTTGCACGCTTTCTTAGAACTGCCAACTCCTAAAAATAACGATCATACAGAAATGCTGTTTATAGGGTGCAAACAGAAAGTCTCCACAAGCCGGCATGTCTTTGACAAGAACTGCCAAGGAACATATTTGTACTTGTATACCAGAGATATATGATTGCATTTGGAAGTTCGTGAACTTTTCATGGATCTTGCCCTTAAATTATCACCTTGCTGAGAATCACTTAAGGACTTATTATACCACATTATTTTGTAAGCACAATTTATGATGGTATAGGAATTCATTCCAATTGTTGACACTATAATAGTGATTGTACATTGTGGTTTATATTGCGGTAATATTGTTATTGTATATAAAATACAAATAAGATTTTGATACTAATAAGTCTTTGATACCACTTTTGGAATATTGCAACAAAAGACTGAGACAAAATTACAAAACACTAGAAAAATATAATTCTTTTTGTATAAAAGTTTATTAATATTTGTTGGTGCTTTTTCGCAGTTGGTTTCTTCTAGTTATTTTTGTATATGAGTCTGTGTCAGCCAGTGATATTACGGCCCCGGTCACACTGGGGGAAAAGGTGCGGCTGAAGTGAGGCTTTTTTGAGCCGCATCAAAAGAGAAGCGCGGTGGCGGGATCAGACAGACCCCCCGAGCCGCCGTGCAATTGCTCCCCGGCATGATCAGATGCCAGGGGGAAGCCACAGATCGGTGAGCGAGGCGAGAGTGTTGGACTAGATGGGCCTTTGGCCTGATCTAACATTGGCGTCTCTTATGTTCTTATATAAGTGCTGTCAGCTTATGGCAACCCCAGCAAGAGGCTTCCAAGGCAAGTGAGAAGCAGAGGTGGTTTGCCATGGCCTTCCTCTGCAGAGCCATCCTTGGTGGTCTCCCATCCAAGTACCGACCCTGATTAGCTTCTGAGATCTGACACGATCTGTCTGTATATAAGTGCTGTCGATTTATGGCAGCCCCAGAGCGGGGCTTTCAAGGTGAGCGAGAAGCAGAGGTGGTTTGCCAATGTAGTATGAATGGGAATATAAAGATTTTCATATATAGCTTTTTCCTTCTTGATTGTTCATATTCATACTTCTCTGGTTTTTATAGATTTATTCTTTAAGTAATATTTTATTAGGATGTTAGAATGGCCTGTTATATAAAAGGCTTTCCTCTTGTAGGTCTGATATTGCTAGCAGACAACATAAGAGGTATAAAGTTCATGATTCTGTAGTTCTTAGGGCAAACCTTTCAATGTCTGGGTCAGATAAGATTTTAGTCTGATATGAAGAATCCTTGCCCATTATCATTTAGGTTGGGTTAAGTAAACACTTAGTTTGACGTAGATATGTTTCTTTATATCTGGCCAATCAGAGGATTATTACTCAAATTACCACTGTCTTTTCTAACCAATTACGCTGTTTGAATATTGTTTTCTTGATGATGTCAGTCCATGTATAAAATATCATGTATTTCCTGAATATGTTCAGAATATGCTCAAGAAGAAGATGAAGAAGAAAAAGAAGAAAGTTGTCAATTTTTAGTTAACTATTTGGTCTAATTGTTTTCCTATTAATTGAGGCATGTTTCCTGATTATGCTGAGAAGAAAGTGGTCAGTTTTGATGGGTCCTTTAGCCTAACTGTTTTCCATATTTCATTACAATAAAATACAAGAACTTCCTCCTCATTTGACTTCATTTTTGACATGGAATCTAATATGTACAACACCAAGGCCTTCCACTGCAGCGTCTTCCTTGGTGGCCTCCCTCCCAAGTTCTGACCCTGCTCGGCTTCCGAGATCGGGCTCTACCACGCTGGCTTCCCTCTCGGCTACAATCTTAGCTCAACAGAAGCGGCTGAGTACTCCATTTGAACTCCTAGGTTTCGGCAAGTTTGCTATATATCTCAGACTGCGCAGGCCACGGGAAGTCCCTTGCAACCTTTGGGCACACCCAGGTAGCCTCTGCCAACGACACGTCCAGCTGTTGTGTTTACACACTCTGAGCCAGATTAAAAATAAACTTTAATTTTTAAACCCATTTTAATCTGGTTTAAAAGGGACAGTGCGGGGTGGCTGCGGGCAGAGCACTTGTCTGAACGTTCTGCCCCCCAGCCAGTATGGAGAGAGGTGTGGAGTTAGGCTCCCCCTTCAAAATGGCAGCACTGAGCTTCCTTCCTTCCTTCCGTTTGTATCCTGCTCCATTCCCCACAAACAAGGCTCAGTGCGGCTTCCAACAAGCAGACAGACTGCAAATGTAAGAACATAAGAGAAAAACCAATGTTGGATCAGGCCAATGGCCCATCTAGTCCAACACTCCATGTCACACAGTGGCCAAAAATACCAGGTGCCCTCAGGAGGTCCAGCAGTGGGGCCAGGACACTAGAAGCCCTCCCACTGTTGACCCCTCAACACCAAGAATACAGAGCATCTCTTGCCCCCAGACTGAGGGTTCCGATCTATATCTTGTGGCAAATAGCCACCGATGGACCTCTGCTCCATATGTTTATCCAATCCCCTCTTGAAGCCGTCCATGCTTGTAGCCGCA